GCTGGATGAGGCTTGGAGCAACCTGGTCTAGTGGAAGGGGTCCCTGCCCATGGCAGGGGGGTTGGGGCTGGGTGGGCTTTAAGGTGCCTTCCAACCCAAACCAGTCTGTGATTCTGTGACTTTACGAGATACTTGTCTTTATTATTTGAGTGTGTAGAGAATTTAAGCTTTTAGCTCCGGATGATCAGCCTAAGCAAAAACACTAGTCCGTATGAAATTGCTTAGGAGGTATCGCTGAGTGATGGCAGAGGGCAGGGGAGGGAGAAGATGAAGTTTTCATCACCTGATTTGTGGAGTGAGTCAGTATTACAGGAACTCATTCCAGACAGTTGTGATCTGAAACCTTGTTGTCCAAGTATTTCCTGTATAGAAAACACCGGAGTACGTGCTCTAAATGTTTAATACTGCTTTTGGGTCTGGGGGGTGAAAAGATAATGTGTGTGTATTAGAATTGTTCTTTGTTTTTGTGCACAGAGATTGCTCCAGGAATGTCCAAGTCAAAGTTTCTGACCTGGTTTTGTGGTTTTTGACAGATGAAATCTGCGAGTGAAGAGAATCTTTTAGAGGAAGTCATGAAAAGCTTGTCCGAGTCTGCGGAGCTGACAGGAAGGGAGAAGCATAGGCGGCAGCCGCCTGCCGGCTGCGGCATTGTGAGATCGTTCAGTGTGAAAACTGGGGTTGATTTCTCGGAGGGACGATCCGTGAAAGCAGAGCAGCTTGTGAGGCCCAGCCTTCGTAAAAGCGAAGATCCCTACTTCACTAGCTCCCCCATAAAATTCACTTCAGGCGCTCAAGGGAAGGGCAGATCAGTTAAAGAGAAGATACAAGTGAGCGTGTCGCAGCGACAATCCAGAGATTGCAATCCTTACGCCACCCTGCCCCGCGCCAGCAGCGTGATTTCCACGGCAGAAGGAACTACTCGAAGGACGAGCATTCACGATTTTTTGTCGAAGGACAGTAGGCTGCCCGTGTCAGTGGATCCCGCGCCGCCCCCCCCTGACAGAAGTGTTCCGCCAACCCCCAGTGAGTACTCGGCACGCCGGTTACCCTCTAATTGTTTTCACTGTGTGGCTTACAGAGTAGATTGTGTTCCGCAAAGCGATGCGGCTGATACACTTAAACCCCGTAATTTAGGAGGTAACTCTGATGCGCCTAAGACTTTGAGGATGGAAAGGGCAAATTTTCGTGAGAGAACTGTGCCAAGCCCAAGTGTGTGTCACGATAAAGTCAGTATGTCCGGTAAGGACGGCGCAGGATCGTTTGCTGTGCCTCAGCCGTTTTTATCCCTTAACACTGAGTTAGTTAGCAATATCAGTGGATTGCCTCAAAGATCTGCAGGAAAACCGACCCTTCAGGCAAATCTGTCAGCGTTTAGATCTGTACCGAAAAGCCAAGACCAGCCTTCCGCTGATCAGAAATCTGACCGTAGTGACCCACGGCCCGTTCTAACGGGGGAGTGTGCTCCCACCGCCTGCGTAAACACTAGCCAGGGTGAATCCCCACTGCTGGTTTCGGAAGATAAAACAACTGTGTGGTACGAGTACGGTTGTGTGTGATGAGCAAGTTGTGCTGATACCCGTGTATGTAGTCTGATAGGACGCATAGGTGTTGCGCTCAGCGTCCACTGGATTTAGAGAAAACTCCACTACAGTGAAAAGATAATTCCACGTCAGACCCGTGGGTGGTGGCTCCGTGTTGTACTCCAGCATGTTTGAATGTAAAAACTGTAACCTCGCCAAAGTTTGCATGAACCATTAATTGCACTGTATATATTTTTGCATGCCTTTCGAAGCCTTCATAAAACAAGCTCTGTTCTTATTTGTCACGCATTACAGATATTTTGGGTTTGTTCCTGAATGCATGTCAAACCACCCGCATGCTGCGTTGCCCAAAACGGCGCGGTGAGCAACACGCTTTGCGGCACAAAGACAGTACCAGGCGCATCAGTAGCACGGTGACTGCGTATGTGGAGGAAAAATACTTTTCCCCCCTTGTTTCAAAGTTGAGATGCTGATGAAAAGAAGCATTTAGAGATACTTCAGAGTCGTACCCGTTTCATTTGTGCACAAATGCCCTTTGCACAAGCAACAGGTTGCAGCCCCGTAGTTCAGTGCCCCTGGCCTGCACAGTAAACATGAACTCCTGTTCACACGTCCTACATACTTAAACATTAATAAATCCAGAGACCATCCATAACCCTGAACGTGATCGTTCTTACGAGGCGGTAATAAAAGGTCCCATGATACGCAGCACTTGTCATGGAAAACCGGCCCTTTCCACCTTTTCCCTTTGGTATGCTTTGTCTTTCCACGTGTGGTGGAGCGTACGGCTTGCTCAGGAGTCAGGTAACAGTTACACGAGACTCCTTGTCAGGTATGGTGATAAAAACCTGTACCCATCACGGTGGAAATTCATTTTTTCTTCTGAATAGGAGGAACACCAGTCTAACAGAAAACAAGCTGCGTAACAAAGTAACAGCAAAAGCTCTTAAATCGGCACAGTTAAGTAAAAGAAACCGTAGCAGAAAGTTTGCCAGCAGAATGAGAGGAGCATGGGAGTGCCTACGGGAGTAACTCCTGAAATCCCAGATGACCAGCTAAAGAGAGATGTTGAAAAGCAGTTATTTAATATGCTACTGTTTCTGCCACTGCTTGAAACTCCTCAACGGTAAACGTAAACAGTTTTTAATCATGTCCTGCTTAAACTTTAATTACGCGAGGCTTTAGACATTAGCACTTCACTACAGAAAACAGCTCCTGGCAGTTCTTGCAGGACACAACGATGTAGGCTATAAAAAACTCGAATGAAAATACAGCTAGGGGAAAAACTACTGAGAATTGAACATAAAGCATGTTATATTGTGCTTTTTGGAATCAAATTTATTTTGCCAGCAGTCTTGTGGCAGTCACGGTGCTGCCGCGTGGGTTGAACTCCAACTCCGTAGCGTTTGAGTAGGGAGGGTCGATGTGCTGCAGACCCCCCCGTTGGTCTGTACGGTCTGCGGTTCCCGGGGGCGGTCGCTGATAAAGCACAGATAGCCCTCGCACAGCTCCGGCTAGGTGCGGGGGGGCAAAGGCACGACGGAGAAGATTGGGTGTTTCCAAGACACTGTGTGGAGGGCAAAACCACTGTTTCCAACTGCAAAGCAGCCATCCTTCTGCATGCCTGCAGGCATCTGGCACCACCCTTCCCGCTTCTCTCCAGTGGTGTCCTCACCGCCGTGTTCCCTCCGGAACTGGCTCACCGTTAGAAGAGGCCCCGATCTGACGTACGGTCTCAGTGTCACACGCGTTTACTCTGACGCAGCGAGATCACTGTTCTGATCCTGGGTCACGTCACTGGACTCCGTTTTCCATGAATCTGCAGATGAGTTTGGATTAGAGTGGGGATGAACAGCGCTGTGACCCAAAGCGGCGTACACGTTTGGCGAGTTACTTAAGGAATTAGAAAACCTTAGCTCTGAGAGGACTTCCTGCAAACTCACGCTGCGCTACCAGCATCGGTATCTTCCGTAGCTGATGGCGAGCCTGTCTTGCAGCGAGACTGCTTGTCGTGAACAGAACGGGGTGTGCAGCTGGAGGTAGTACCTTCCGGTTAGATCAGCTGCCGCTGTCGGAGAAAGCGGATGAGCTGTCAGGCACGCTGCACCTCGCGTGCCAGCCTTGCCAGGATCCTTAGACCGTCACCGCTACAAAACACAGCAGTACTCTCTCCAGAGATGGGCATCAGGGGCTGGCCACCGAACCCTGGTTGTAACGGGGAGCAGAAGTTTTGCAGGTGACCCCTGGAGAGGGAGGTTGAAGCGTGCTGTCAAGGCAATGAAACCCAGTTTTTCCAGCCGCGGCCCATGGGACGCTTCAGTTTGCGTTGTTTCTTTTCACAGCGCTAAGCCTCCACACCCAAACCAAATCCGACGGGGGATGTTGGTGGCTGATACTCAGTGCCTTTCTAGCCAGTGCTGTACCTTCCTCCATTGCGGGGAGGCGGCATTGAAACAGCTTCTCCCTTAAACACAAAGGGCTTGAGTAGCCGAGTGTTGGTGGCTTTGGACACGGGTGCCTCAGACCCTCTGTGGGAGTTTGAGACGAGCCGTGTCCAGCTCAGGCTGCTGTTAGCTCTGGTAGTGAGTGACGTGTCACTTCTGAGGACAGTAACTTCTTGTGGTCCTATTTTTGGTCCGTTGAGCTCAGCCACAGCAGCGGAAGTCACACTGCTAGAGACTTCTTAGCATCTCTGAAAAATAAGTGGTCAACATCTGTTAGATGTGAAAGAAAACAAATGTTTTTAGGTACAGAACGATGAGTTTTTCCTCCGCCTTTTGGTCTTTACACTGTAACAATGCCTGCGTCCTGGATGGCCCTGTCGGTCTGTGCTCAGCTGGT